TGGTGCAAGTGCAGGAGAGCAGGCCGCCTGATAACGACTCAGACACAAAGTGAATGTGGTGGAACTACTTAACAACTTGCAGGTGAGTCCTCACATAAACAAACATAAAGTCGAGTCTCTTTTACACAAACAGGCTCCTCCTGCAGTGTTTTATATAAAAACACCAAAACGCATGGAAACAACCTTTCATCCACATCTCAAAAGCTGTGGTCTCCTCGTGAAGCGAGCTGCACTTTATTTTACATCCCTTTGCACGCTTGTCCCGGGTCGAGGCGGAACACTGCGGTGATATTAGCAAAGGCTGCAGAGATTTTTAATGCAGTTTGTGGTGCAAATAAACTCAGGAATGAACAACACCATTCAGCTTTTCCAGGCTCCCAGTGATTTTTCTAAAGGAATAAACCTTTTACCGTCTCTGTTTCTCTTTTGCTGCAAAGAAAACCACATTGAAATACTGCTAATGCTGATCATGATTTGAGGTTTTTATGGATAAAGCTGCGACCAATAAAAGAGAATTTCCTGTTACGCGCTCAAAAGAGGAGTGCGTGTAATGTGTCCTCATTATCATTTTTCCTCTCTGCAGTGGTACCTTCTTAAAGAATAAAACTTGTTAAATGAAATATCTCCAATAACTCTTTAATAGATGTACTCATGGTAAACGTAGTGGGGTTCCTCTTTGAATAAATTGTCATATAAAACAAGCTTGACTTGAAAGAGGACTCTTTCGCAATGGAAACTCCCCACAGGAAGATAGTGGTTTCCCAAACTGTCCAAGCCCTGCTCCACTCTGCACTGATGCAAATGGGCTTATTCTCTGTCTGTGTGTGTGAGCTCTGCTAATGAAAGACCGGCTCAAACAAGTTCTGAAAGGATGAGGCTCTCAGGGACACATGCTGAGGGCCCGCAGCAGCTCCTGCGGCGAGCTCAAAGGAGGCCGATATGGAGGATAAGTGGAGGGATGGGGGAAAAAGAGGAAGATGAGGGGAATGATAAACGAGCGACAAAAGCAAAGATGGTCGAGAAGAGGGGAAAGTGAGAGGAGAGAAGATATGGAGAGGTCTGCCATGCTTGAAAGGAAGACAGTGCCATCTAGGGACCTCCTGTGACATTTTTGTGCACAAGCATGCACACAAACCTGTCACCATCAGGCAGTTTGTTATGTAACTGTGCAGTCTTTGACAAACCGATCATAGAAAAATGCAAATACACACTTGTGTCGACTCAAAACAGCTACAGGATTTGTTTCCTCTCATTTTCAGTTTATTTCCCATGTCTGGAAAATTGGTCGACTGTTTTCTAGGACACGTGGGAACATTAGTGTTTGCAGAGTATCTTGAAACACTCCGAAGACGTCTTCAGTAAAAGAGTATAGTCCATCTTATTAAGTGTTTGCCAGACTTTTTTGGACTGAGAGTCCTCCGCTCCCCTCGGCCCCTTCTGCTCCCTGCTGCTTCCACTCGGGGTTCCCAGGCTCTTCATTTTCCACGGGGCCAGTTGGATTTTTGTCAAATTGTGGGTTTCTCAAAAATCATGACACTTTTGTCAGCTTCATAAATATAACAAATGACCCTTCCCAGAGTCTTGACCCCATTGTACTACGCTGTAAAAACTTCCTCTTGAGGATAGCAGGAGTTACAAGACAACAAGGAGAGCTGGGTCCTTCCACTGAGTCATGAACTCCTTTTAAATAGTGTCTAATAGGGTCTGCTCTTCTCCTTCACTGGACTCTGATCGAGGTTTCTGCAGCCACATCAAATCAATAACTTCCTCTGCTTTTTCCATTTAAAGAGGGATGAATATCAAACAAGACCTTGAAAGGCTGATGCGTACGTTCACTTCCAGCAAATTGAAGTACGGTAATGGTTTACCCGCAGGGCTTTCAGCGGTTCGGCAACTTTGACGTGTTTAAAATGTCCAACAAGAGTCTTAAAAACTAAAGACCATGTAGCCAACACTACATTACTCTGGTTTATACACTGGCTACTGTGGCAACCCAGAGGATAATGGGGGAAACTCACAATAAAACAGAAATTTGCATAAACTCAAACTTCCTTTTATTGTCTTTTCAGGGGAACTCAAGGGATTGAGGGTTTGGATTAATTCAAACTTCCCCGTTGTGGCGTCTTGGGCGCTGTGGGTTTTGTTGTATAAATAAGGTTATCCACTTTCCAAAGAAAAACAAAAGAAGAGAGATAAACTCTGTGGTCATAAAACTGGCTTTCAGATTGGACTTCTTTGGTCCTTACTGCATGAAAACTCTCTCCTGTACTCAGTGCGTTTACATGCACAGCTTAATCGGACAAAACTCATAATTCGTCTGAAAGCACCATGTGTTACACCCACAATTCAGCATGGAGGTGGTAGTTCCATGGTATGGTGATGTTTTGCAAGTGATGGAGAAGGAGATTTGTTTGAAGTAAAGGGTATTACGAAGAAGGAGCAGTACCACTTCATCCTCCAGCACCATGCTGTTCCATCTGGACTCAGATTTGTGGCTCATAAGTTTGTTTTGCAGCAAGACAATGACCCTAAGCACTCTGCCAAGCTCTGTCAGGGTTACCTAGACAAAGAAGAAGAGGAAGGTGTTCTTCAAAAGATGGTTTGGCCCCCTCAGTCTCCAGACCTTTCTCCAATTGAGCTTGTGCGGGATGAATTGGATCGATCGGTCAGAAAAACACGTCTCACGAATCAGCAGTCTCTTTTTAATGAACTTAAGAAAGCTTAGAATGCAATCCCTGGAACGAATGCCTGGTATATGCCAAGCTGTTGTTAAAGCCAGAGGAGGTGACTTTAAAGAAAGCAAAGTCTAAGCAACAATAACTCAAATACCCAATAATTATAGTCAAAATGTTTTCTTTTTTTGTACAAATCTGATCTTTTGGCCTGTAGTGTACATTCAAGAAAACTCTAACCCTAACCCACTGACTGCTCCTCTCCTTGTGGACCTGCAGATATTCCCTCTTCTCTGTGAAACCCAGTGAAGCAGGATTTGATATCATGTAGCAAAAACCTGGAATAATCTCTCAGAAGACATTTGTAATCTCCTGAATATGAAGTCAGAATGTGTTTTATGTACATAATGTTTTATCTACACACAGAGCAGGACTCCCTTCTACAAAGGCCAACAACTTGCACTGAAATGTTTCTACAGTGTCAAAGAATAGACAAACTACTGTACATTCATGTTTGTTTTTGTGCTTAGTGAGTGGAGTAAAAGAGTTTGTTCTACGCAGAAACTTCAAGCTCAACAAACTGAGTATCGCCTATCATGCATTACAGGAACTTCTTGAAGAGGTGAGTAAGGGAGCGTTTCCATCTAAATCTGTCCATAACATGTCTAAATATTTCCATTTCTCCACACTGTACCTGTAAATCTTTACTCCTTCTCTTTTTAATAGTATTTCTGTGTCTCTAGATGCTTTTATTGCTCTTGCCTCGGTGTATAAAACCTGCAGAACATATACAGCTCCCGCTTGCCTTTCCTTCACTGTTCCTGTTTAATAAAGACATTTAAGAACCCATTCTGGAAACAGAAAAAAGCCTCCGTACGTATTAAATCCATGACTCAGTGGTAAATATGAGCTCTTGTGGCTGAAAAATAAAAAGTTAACAATCCCAAGCTAGCAACTTGTAACACTATGTTGAAGTGGAGTTTCCTTGAAGAGGTTTTTTTTAACTAACAGTGCGCCGGAACTTTGCTGGATCCGCATCCAAAATCAATTGTGGGTTTTGTTGCCTTGAAATTGAGAGAGCGGTGATTTTCTTTCATTAAACACAACCGAACCTTAACTGCGGACGTTCTGTCAGTGATATTGGCTCAGATTATCTGGACTAGAAACGATCTTGGAGGAGGTTACGAGGACAGGAAAAGAAATACTTCCCCTGCGGTCGCTGCAACAGAACAAGACGATCTGCTTTCCTTTTAGTCGTGTGAAAGCCTTAGATTATAAAAAATCAGACAGCAGAGAAAGTAGAATTATTGCACGTTTACTGTATGCACAGGCGGATGAAATATACAACGCCAAATTCACTGACATGTCATGTTTACCAATAGAAATGTAGAGAAATGAAACAAAACTCTGCAACAGACATGCACAGTAGACTTCGGTGCAATCGATTCTAAATAAATTACAATACATCAAATATTATAATTATCATTATAAATATGTTTCTATAACAGAAAGAGCTTTTTAAATATGCTTAGGCAGTACATGTTACTAAGTTTCCTCTATAGGTTTTGATTGTTACACGAGGAAAAGTAATAGGATGCATGATGTAAACCTCTCCCTGTTTGAGTGTTCCAGGTAGTATCCAGGACTGTAAGGTGCTCAAATCAAGGTTTTGACTTCTTTTACTTTGATACAGTCTCTAAAATAATTCAGGTCTCAGGCTGCTTTTTCAAAATTCAGTGTTAAGGCATACGGCTGAAAAGTAAAACGACTACCACCCCGGCTCTAAATGTGAACAAAGAACACCAGTCCTCGCAGTTTTTTCTAACCCGCATTACAGCATCTCCAGTGCCAGTCAATTTAAAGTGCATAATGCTGAAATGAAGCAGAAATAGGAGGCAAATTAAATTAAATTCAGGCTGTTTCCTTCATATTTTGTTATTCACACTGGCCGGGAGTTGGTAAAACGCCTAAAAACCCGAGTTTAAACCGATGTGTGTTGTTCTGCTTTGTAAGAGGATACTTCATACGTGAAATGTTGGAGTCATTGCTTTTCAGTTTTAACGACATTATGGCTTCTAAGCTGAAAAGTGCTACATGAAGCAGGACCAGAACACATCAGGGGGGGATTAACAAGGCAAACACTCAGAAGCACATTTAGTTTCTATGAGTTAATGACTTTCTTCCCTGATGACACAAAACTGTTCGAAATGTTTGGAAAAGAATTTCAATCATCTCTATTTTTGGAAAATTATAAGCAAATTTGGATTAAAAAGTTCTATCCCGTGTGTTTTTTTGAGTTCGGATCAGAGGAGTTCTGGTGGATGGTTGTCAGTTCTGGTGGAGCAGGAAGTTCTTGATGGGCTGCGGTAGTGGTAATGAGGTTATGTGGTTTAAACGGCTTTTACCCAGCGTCCTGCGGATCCTGATGCGACACAGGTGTGTGAGCCTTCGCGGGTTTCCTGAAGGGGGGAAAAAAAGTAAAGGTGGGTCTGATTAGCAGCAGAAGCTTTTTAACAGATTTGAGTTAATTATAACCTGACATGATAACACGGTTCAGTCCAGGTAACACCAGTCCCTGCTGGTCATGTAACTACTGAGCTGCAGCAGACATGATTGTGATGTTAGAAATCAGTAGCAAAAGCACATCTCTGCACCGTCAGTCGTTGTGTCAAACCTGCTTCATAAATAGGTAAATAATGGTGCCACTCCTGACAAGAACCAGATGGAAGTGTGTCTGCACCAAGGATGCAGATAAACACCTTTCAGCCACAACATTATGACAGGGGGAAGTGAACGGCATCAGTTATCTCTTTAAAATGGCAGCTGTCAGTGAGTGAGATATTTTATCTTGAAGTTGATGCATTCGGAGCAGGAAAAAGATGAGCATAAAGTGCTCTGAGTCTGCAGCAGTTAGTATGTAGTTGGAAATAAGAGCATAAGAGCAAATGGAGCTCAAACTGCTGTAAGCCAATGCTAGTTTTGGAAGCGAGGTGTCAGGACTCGAAGGGGCTGCAGACCAGTCAGAACGCCCACACTGAACCTAATTTGGTTCGTCAAGCCTTAAAGGGATATTCCGGCGTGAAATTAATTTAGAGTCAAACACACCGTGACACCGAGTTAGACACCCCCTTGAGAGATGAATGTTGTATACTGCTTGCTTCTCTAGTTATACCAACTTTAGTAACGATCGCAGATAGCAGTACAGAGACAACCAAAATGCCACTCTATAGCCACAAATAATGCTCAGAACAGCACCTAACTTCATCAACAGTACATATAGGGTCCCAGCAATAGCACTAGACACCAAACATCTTTTTAACTTTGCCTGATTTCTTTAGCAAAGAGACTAAACACAACTCACCTACTCTCCTCCAGCAGCTGCTTGTTTGTGGGCGTAGCGGAGTTTCACAGCTCAAGGAAGAACATTTATGATCATTTCTTCATGGAAATGCAATCAGACCGAGACACTAAGACAGAAGAACTACCGTGTCTGCAGTGAAAAATGATTAATATGGTGATTATTACTTCAAGGAAATGATAAAGTAATGATCATAAATGTTCTTCCTTGAACTGTGAAACTCCGCTACAGTTCGTAATCGACTGGTCGAGATCTCGCTACAAACAAGCAGCTGCTGGAAGAGAGTAGGTGAGTTGTGTTTAGTCTCTTTGCTAAAGAAATTAGGCAAAGTTAAAATGATGTTTGGTGGGTAGTACTATGGCTGGGACCCTGTATGTACTGTTGATGAAGTTAGGTGCTGTTCTGAGCATTATTTGTGGCTATAGAGTGCCGTTCTGGTTGAAGTTTGTTTATGGCTCCTCAGACTGCTGCATATTCCTATCATGCGGTCATTACTAAAGTTGGTATGACTAGAGAAGCAAGCGGTTGGCGACATTTATCTCTCTGTGTTTTGGTGTGTTTGACCCGAAATTAATTTTACGCCAGAATATCCCTTTAATTCTCATTAATGCCGGCATGTCTTCAGGTTTTACTCACTCCTTGCTTCCAAGAAGACCTTCAGTGCCTCTGGATCCACCTTCCTCCGATTAGGAGTCTCCAGCTCTGCCTCGTCCCAGGGCACAAGAGCAGGATTAGCCCCGTGGTCCAGCAGCAGGTAGATGAAGGCCACCTCGCAGCCATGTCTCAGCACAGCATCCAGCAGGCAGGAGGCCAGGCCGCGGGTCAGAGCCTCGTGGCAGACCGGTCCTGTGTAGTTAAAATCAGGCTGAGCTCCGGCCTGGAGCAGCAGTCGGAAACAGGGGAGGTGGTGGTAGGCAGCACTGATGTAGAGAGGACACACCACGAGGGTGTTGAGGGTTCGAGCACTTAAGAGGAGCCGGGGACCCAGCTGGTGGTCCATGTCTACATCAGCATTGAACCTGGACAGGAGGAACATGGATACAGCTAAAACCAAGAGGAAATGTTGTCATGAAACAACAGGCAGGTTGTTATTGGTGAGAACCCTGTGACGGAAAGATGTAATTTTGTGTATTCTGGAGCAGATTACACCTCTGTTTGTGCAAGAAATAACTCAACTGGTGCCTGAAGCAGGAGAAAACGTTGCATCACACGGCTATCATTGGCTCAAAATGCTAACCCGTGGAGGATTCATTACACAAACAAAAACAGGACCAAAATTGTAAAAGAAAACAAAGGCACTGACTGTAACCACACAAGTCAGCGTTTCAGTGCAGCTGGCTTTGAGACTTAGCCTCTCCTGACCTAACCTTATGAGCTCCTGCAGTATGTCCAGACGTCCCACACGTGCTGCGTGGTACAGCGGGGTGCTGCGGTGGTGGCGACTTCCATTGGGATCAGCCCCCGCTTCGAGAAGGATCCTGACGCAGTCCAGATGACCGTTAACCACGGCGACGTAGAGGGCAGTTTGACCTTTAACATCGACCAGGTCCACCTCTGCGCCCTCACCGATCAGGTAAGCCACGCAGGCTGCGTGTCCGGCTGTGGCTGCGATCCGCAGAGGAGTGCAGGGCAGACAACCGCAGCACCACACAGACTTCTCATTGATGCGCCTGGAGAGACAGAGGAAGGAGAGTGGTGAGGAGCTGACAATGCAGATTCTTCTTTGTTGTGCATATGTGGTGCAACATCTTAAAGTATATTTGAATTCATGAAAAATCAACTCGAGGTCAAAGTGTTCGCTCTTTCCTTTAGCTGTCAGTCATCTAGTCTGACACCCACTCCTCTACATTGATTACAGGCATTAAAAAGTACAGTCAATCATCTTGCAGATGGTGTGTTGTTTTTTCTGCTGATGTAAGTCTGTTTTATCACCACATCAAAACTCCACACAGAGGATTTAATGGTAGAAATGGTAATAACCATTGGCTGCGTATCGAAGTCCTGCAATATGAGAGCTGTCAGATTAGGGTTATCGAGTTCTGACCCCAACACTACGGCTGTGACACTGCATTATGAGTCTCAGGACCTGTATGGACGCACTTATATAGGGACAGTGGGAAAAGCGCTCTAAGGCCATGAGGGTTGAGCACCCAGCATATGGAGTGTGTTAAATTCTACAGGACTGTTCTGTGGTGCAGAAGTGGAAGGACGTATTCTGTACAACACGTCTCTCTCTCAGGCTGTCACTCAGCAAACCCACCACACAAACCCCCTTAGCACTGAAACCACAAACCACTTACTGCCACACAAGAACACTCTGGACACAAGCTGCCGGCTCTGCAGTGACATGATGGATACAGTGATCAACGATGAACAAAGACTATTGTGAAGGCCTCCAAAAACGTAACCGAATACTGCATTTTCTTACCCCTCGAACACATTCATGGCAACTTTGAGAACAAATCCAGAGTATTTCACTTCAGGGATGCATGATAATGAGATTTTGCTGACATGCCATAGTGATTTCACCTTTATTTAATTGTGAAAAACGTAAAGACACAATCTATCCAATCCAGAACAAACTAACTAAAAACTAGTAACTACCCAATGATGACTCTATTTTGGCTACAGACCTTGTCCTAACAGCTGCTGGTTCAACTCTTTGCTGCACATATCCCCCCTCTCTTCTCTTTCCTATCTAATAAAGGCAGAATGCATGAAAAAATACCCTTTAAAAAAATCTAAGTATTGTTTCCTGCAAAAGCGCTTGTGTGAAAGTGTTCATACTAGGGACCTTTTGAGGAGCTCTGTGTGTTTCGACAGGAGACACTTGGGCTCAGACTGCCAACCCTCTGATTGAGAGATTCTATCGCTGAAGTTGCACTTGCTCTCACAGGTAATAAGCTCCATAAATAAACCTGGCTCCAAGTGCAATATACACAATAACTGTTATTGTCGTTTCCTCCCACCGTCTGAAACTGTCTTCCTGCAGCAGGTTCCTCAGGGTGTCCAGGTCTCCGACGTAGGCAGCGTTGTGGAGCCGCATGTCGTCCTGCTCCAGGGGTTTGTCGCAAAACTGCTCCTGTAGCCATTCCTTCAGGTTACGGCCTGGTGAGGACACAGACGTTACACCAACAAACAGAAGTTTGTAGTAGAATTTAAACTTGTACTTTTCCATAAACTAAAAGTAACATAACAGTAAGTCTCTAAAGGACTGATAATGTTAAAAACTGGTGAATGAATAATTGATTTGGCTAAGCTTCCTCTGAGCAGATCTTTAAGTGAATTTATGATTTACGGTACGGAGGTAATATGAGAATCCAGCATTTTAGAGGAGAGCTGCTTCTGTTCAGACTGCACACTTTTTTACTACTTATCTGTGCAGAAATCCTTGTTATATTGCTCCCTTATTAAGCCGTAATGCACATGCTATTTAACACTATTTACATAAATGTGATTACTGTAAGCACCTCCGATCAAAGTACCTTCAGTTCATGATATTGCAAACACTTAAAATGATGGTAAACATGCATACTGGCTCTAACAGTCACCTCCTGTTCTAGTATCTCTCTAATTTATGGGCTATAGCAGCAGGAATGCGCAGTGTGAGTCACTGTTTCACACCCCTGTTATTCCAGACATGCTGTACCCATTTATCCACGAGGGCCACACCTTATTACACAGCAACCACCCTCAATAACACATCTATTTCTGCTGTTTATGCTTTCTCCTCAACTCTGCATGACATTTCATCCACCGTCCTCTTTCTCTCTCTCTCACACACAGACACAGTAAGACAGAGGCCACCCGCTCCCCTGACAGGTCTGATGAATCATTGTTGTCCTCTCTCCTCATTCAGTCCCGGTTACCTGCAGCAGTGGCACTTGGCAGATCAGAGACAGTGATGAGCGGAGGGAAATTGATACTGGGCGGGTCGTCGACATCGGCTTCTTGACCGTCGGCCATGATCCTGAAATGTCACACCGTCAGGCTGGAAATAGCGCTTCGGAGGGAGGTGGATTCCGGTGTCCGAGAAAAACGGTAATCAGGACGGTCTAAATCAGAGAAGAGCCATCAAAATAAACAAACGTGACCGTGTTGATGACGGCGTCAGCTGAGTCCTCTGCGCTACTTCCTGCCTACGCTCAGCTGGACGGATTTAAAGGGGACGTCTCTCTAAAACAAGAAAAAACATCCAGACAAACTGTTTCCAGATCAATCAGTTCACATAAATACCTCCATACATCACAAACATTAAGTCAATGGGAAAGCTGAGTTCTACGGAAGAAGATTAGGGGAAAAAAAAGGTCCAATATTATTTATTTTAATCATAATTCTAAGAAAAAAAAAGAGTTTAAAGTCAGAATAATGAGAAATAAAGTAAAAATTATGACTTCAAACTCAGAATTCTGACTTTTTTTGGTCAGAATTATGATAAAAACATAGTATTGGACCTTCTTTTGTTGTTTTTTCTCACCATTAAATCAGTCTTTACTTATACAGCACTTTTCATACACAACCATGTAGCACAAAGTCGTGTTGTTTCGTTTGCAAACGATTTGTTAAAAAGAACCGAATCTTTTGATTTAACATACTGAACCGAATCACTTCCTCAAGTGATTCGCACTGAGAAAACGTCATTTTAAAACTCAGAAACAAAAAAACAACCTAATAATTTGAGAATAAAGACAGAATTCTGAGTTTAATGTCAGAATAATGAGAAAAAAATGAAAAACTATGACTTTAAACTCAGAATTCTGACTTTTTTTTCTCAGAATTATGACAAAAAAAATAGTATTGGACCTACTTTTTTGTTTGTTTTTTCTTATCAATCAATCAGTCAATATTTATATAGCACTTTTCATTTGTGATTGATTCATTCAACCAAACCAAATCTTTTAAGTGAATGTACTGAACCGAATCCCTTCCTCGAGTGATTCATTCGTTTCTCACTTCAGTTGAGCTGAAGTGAGAAACAGCATTGCCAGGCCAGCAGCCGACAAGTGAGGGACCACATGCACCGAAGCCTGAGTCACTTGGTAAACGAATCACGCATTGAACTACACTCTCTGGAATCATTTTTGTCACACAAAACAAACTTTTTTTTATTGCTGAATTGCCACAACAACTTGCATACAATAGGACACAGCATGTAACAAGTAGTGCATGAAACCTGCAGCGTCCTATCATTGCAGTGGTTTCCGAGGGAACAGTGCATGTTCAGTGTAAAACGTTCAGTAACCGAATCACTCACTGACCCCAATTTACTGAGCAGACCCGGTAATCAACGAGGTGTCTAACTCAGTATTATGGTGTCTTTGACCATAACTTATTTTTACGCTGGAATATCCCTTTAAGTTTTCTACTTATCGTGTAAGTGAGTGACGTTATCCTGCTAAAATATGTTAATTATATATGTATCTATAGTTTGTTTGTAAGACTTTAGAAGTATCATTTGTTTATTTACAGATTTACAGACAAAATGTACATTTTGTAAGTTTAGAAAAGTGTTTGTCTTTGCGTTAACAGTCTTTGCTGCATGTATACTAAGGGCTCCCAACATAACAAGACACAGCTGGAGGTTGTTTAACTTCAATGTCAAAACTGGACTTAATATAGTAACTTTGTTTATGGAAAAATTTTAATGTTGTACTTTGTCGACATGTTTTATTACTGGTAGTGATCTTTGAATAAAGGGACAGATCATTAGTGCATCGAGTCCCCTTTGGTGGACTCTTCTGAGAAAACAAGTCTGTAGAGGACTTTTTAATGTGCTGTGGTTTCTAAAACAGACCCAGCCCATCTAGATTGGTTTGCAATTACAATTTTGCGTTTTATACTGTCACTTGTGTTGCAACCAGATTAAAAGTCAAACTCTTAGTAGACCTGGAAACATAGTAGGCAGCTCATTACAGCTGATTACAACACTTAATGATCATTAAATGGAGCTTTAATTAGAGCAGATTGTAGAGAAGTGAGATCAGAGAGGATTGTGACCACTCAAAAGACATCCTGCTCAAGAGTTAGGTTAACAAAAGTCACTGGGCTCCCTGTTTAGCCGAACACAAGGGTAACTGTGAAAGTTAAAGTAGAAAGTTAAATCTCTTATTAGCAGCGTGATCCATTGGCATAATCAGCAGGGGCTTTTTTAAAAGGCAGTCATTGCAAGTCACTTTCACCTCGAGGTACCTCAGAGTTGGGGGAGGAAACAGACAATGGAGCAGTCCTCACCATGAACTGAGCTGTCTGTAATCCACCTGCTGAGCACGGGGCCAGCTCTTTACTGAAGCAGGTGCCTTTTTTCAGAGGCTTCAGCTAAATCTTCCACCTGCGTCACATATACTTAGTCCAAATCTTGCTTTATAACTGTCAAATGGGCTTCCTAATGCGCTTTGTGTGGAGTTACAGCTGCTTACTGGAGGAATATTGTTGCTAACTTTATTCAAGAGTCTTAGAAATGAAGTCAAATGTCTTCTTCAGTCATGTGTGATTGGATTTGAAGAGTGAGACTGCTGAGAGTGTGACTTTGCCGTGCCAGGTGCCACAAAAAGTAATCTTAACCTCCCAAAAATCAAAACCAGTTATCATCTTGATTAAGATGTAATATGAGCAACATCAACTTCTTATTATGGTTCATTTTTTAAAGCTTTGTTTACTCTTAATAATCAACACTTCTTACTGTAAAAATAAAATACAAATAAGTATTGAAATGTAACTTTTATTTCACTCCACTACAAAATTATATCATTATTTGAACTATAATACAATCTTCACATGTACAGTATATACAGTTTGAAGATAAACACAGGATATGATACAAAGAGTTTACAGTGTAAATAGTGCTGTCATATAACAAATTCTCTTTTTCAGGAGTTTTGCTCTTAAGACTGAAATATTTTAGGGTAGTGCTGACATTTATATTTGATGGAATAAACATAATACTGACATGAAAGACTAAATAAAGAGTACATTATGACTGTTAAATGGTCAAAGTGAGTGTTCCTTACATATATTTCAGATTGATATCCGTTTCTCGAGACGTACCTCTGATAGAGTTCCACTTTAACACATAGAGAAGCTGTGAATTTCTGCCCAGGACTAGCTATAGTCATGTTGACTCTAGTAAGAAATAAATGTGCGTTTAGACCTACCAATAAAACCATTTTTGGACACAACTTGTCTGTTTAGTTTCCTAAAATTAAACAGATATTGTGGATTACATTCATCAATCCAACTTGGATGTCATGGCAAGTGTTAAGAAGTCCCTGCTGACATTGGCAGTCTTTGTTTTCTGAGCCTCAAATCTGCACAGAAACTGACAGAGGTAGCATTTTAAAGTACTCACACTAATTCAGATTAATACACTGAGACTAGAACTAAAATATGGAGACTGCGTTTTTCTTACGTGTATTTCACTCACATACAGACAACAGTGAAATGAAATCATCAGGAATATAAGGAAAACAGTGACAATCTTTACTTTTAGGTTCACATCTACACTCTCCAGACAATTACTGCAGTTAACGACCAAGTATTGCTTCATATATTCATACAAACTACATGAGTAAAGCAGATTACTTCAAGCCAAAAATTAATCTAGTGAAAGTGTCTGTTTGTAAAAGCTCATATGAGGGACTTTTTGTGGTGATTTAGCAGTGTACACGTCTAATTAATGATCTCTTACAAAGGCTGATTATATCACTCATGGATAATCTTAGCTGACAGACACGTAAAGACTATCAGCAGGGTGCATTTCACCACTTTATTTTAATTACAAGAAAAATCATAGTTCCTACTATTTGTTGATGATCTTGTTTAATTTCAGGTCAAGGAGATTTTAATATTTGTTCCAGTTTGTTTAGAGACCTGCTGAAATCTCCTCACAGGATCTTTAAGTCTATAAAGAGATGATGTTAAACACAAAGAGTGGTAACTACTCTGTATGGGGTGTTTTCCCTTTACTTTACTTTAAAGTACCATACCTTAAGATACTGTACCTACAATTAACTAACTGTACCTATCAGAAAGGAGGTGTAAGATGTAAAACATATGCTCTGTCACTATCATTGATAATGTGCCACACTGAGCATTACCACCTAAGTGGGCGTCATTTGTCTCCCCAAATAAGAAACATTTAACAGCAAGCATAGAGCTGTTTGTTATACCACTAATCAGGTGTAAGTAGTGTTAAAGAAAAAGAAAGATGATGTGCAAAAGTTGAAATCATTGAGAATAAATTTTTATCTGGACTCTAAAAATAGGCCCTGGATTTCAAACGTATTTCTTTCCACATTGTTAGCATGTAAGAAAGTTAAATAGTCGTGCAGCCCTTCCAATAGGGTTACAGCACATGCATTAATCGTTATAAAGGCTGCTCAGTCCTCAAAACTTAATTTCATGCCCTGAAACATGGAGTGAGTGATTTACAGATATTGAAACCTGCCACACGTTGATGATTTTTGCCCCTCATTGAATTCATAAGTAAAACAGAGAAGTAAGTTTTAACATTTGGTCCACTGGTTGTTGCTGTTGTACAGCAAAACAGACATTCATGTATTGTTTTTTTTTTTTTTGAGTAAATTACTGACCCAGAATTGAAAAGAACTATCTAGTCTAACATTCAAGTCACGGGCTGCTCACCAGCTTATTCCACAAAGGCACCGTTACAGGGGAAGAGGGAGAAGAGGATGTAAGGTTAGAGTGCGGAGCAGGAAGATCTCTTTTTTTATTTCATGTTAGCCGATGTTAGCCAGGGGGAAACATCATATCGGTTTTGTGAACTAATATCACCTGAATGATGATTTCTGGTATGTTTTGGGCTCCACCTCTGACAGAAACCCCTCAAAGTGCTGTTTGGTCCCACCATCTCTGGCAAAAATGGTATTTTCATCATCATGTATGCGACACAGCTCACTCCTAAACCTTAAGTGCATTTTAGATGAAGACTTTTTTGTCACCAGAGACTTGATTTCTCACTTCAGGTTTTGGAGGAGAAGTTGATTCCGGTCACCATTTTTTGGATCTTCTCCTCATTCTTCAGGATGTTGGATTTTACAGCACAAATCTTGTCCTGCTGGTCCTTGATCAGCTGCTCCAGTTCGGCTAGTTCTGCTTTCAGAGGCTCCACTGCCCTGTCTGTCGAACTGTAGCAGAAACAAGCGTCCATCACACACACACACAATATACAAAAAGGATGAATTTAAGGATGAATTAAAGTCACCTGCAATGTCTGATAGTTTAAAGATACACAGAAACCTTACGATTGCTCATCAGTATAAGAATAGTCTGGATATGAACTGGTACCAGCAATAAAACAGGTTAAAGTTATATGTGTGAGACCCACCTCTGTTCTTGCAGCAAGGCCTGTGCGTGTTCTTTGTTCTCCCGCCGCCAGTTGTTCAGCTCAGCCTGCATGGCGTCCATGTCCTCCTGAATGTAGTCCATGATCTTACCTAGAGGCAGGGTGCTGCGGCACACCGTCTGGATGGAAGCGCGGAGCCGGTCTATCTCCCGCGTCACCAAGTCTCGCTCCTTCTTCCTCGCTGCTTCGGACACCACGTTCTGTGCCAGATGTAGAGACAACAGTAAATCTTAAGAAGTGACATTTGAGGAATGCACATGCTGGTATTCCAGGAATGATTAATTTAATTACTTAGAGTCTAAACAGGCGTGGATAAACCAACATGTTTTCATATAATCGGCCTGATTAAAACTAAACACGGTGTCTAACAGCTGTATGATAACACACAACAATCATTTAAGTGTCCCCAGACCAAAACATAATAAACTCTCTCAAGGAATTCTACCTTTGCCAGCAAAGTCTCAAATGTCCAGAGCCAGAGCAGGGCTGCATTTAGTGGTTTGGGATTTCAAGGCTAAAAATGTTAGGCAGGAATTCTCCTAACCTAGCTGTATATATAAAGATCAAACATGCGGCTGAATTGTGTTGGATAAAGTAGGGGGGACTGGCTGATGAAGGCCTCCAGTGTATGGTGTGCGGTTGGAGGAGGGGGGTTAGAAAATCCAAATTACACTCAGTCCCCCCCCCTGATGGTGAAAAGGAGGGGAAGGTATCAGGGTAGGACCTCCCTTGGCAGGCAGCAAACCCAAGGATGTTTGCTCAGCTGGACCACGCAAGGCCTCAGAGTGTGTGTAATGCGAAAGCACTCAGTACGACAACCCTAAAGCGCCACACATACACGCGAGCTAAGCGGAGGTTCGGGCGAAGCATACAGTGGACGCACACAGCCCCCACCTGCCTTCTCGCTCTTGTTTATTTTAGTAACAGGCTGTGGCAGTGGGGTTATTTTACTACAGTATTGGGTAACAACTACTACACTTATGCCTCCTTTCAAGTTCAACTCGTGGTCCGATTTATTCTATTTGGCTCCACAGATGGGAGCACCTGCCCTCGTGAGGCGGCCGGAATCATATTTGTGACGGCGTGTAAACCCAATGACAGTTTCCTCTTCAAAACACACAGTCTGTCATGCAGCCCGCTCGGGGGAGCCCGGCCACATATGGTTGCACAGCTGGTGCATATATCATTTGCTTTATCGAGACATCTCTTAAAACAAACCAAACAGCTAAGTAATTACAATTCAAAAAAGGAAGCTTGACAAGACAAGACCACACTGCAGGAGTGACATCAAACATCATTGTTTTCCATCAAGTACAAACTCACGACGGCCTGAAACCCTGTTACTTATTTGTGGCAGTTTCAGAAGTGTGAGTGGAAGAGATGCTTTGGAGCAGCGGTCCCCTGACAAGGTGGGTGGCTTTCCACTGGGCGCTGTGAACCCTGCAGCTAGACAAACACTCTCCGGCTCATTCAGCCTGCCTGGCTGTGGTTTGGTCTGCACAGCCCAGACAGGACCCATGGCTTCAGTCTATTTGCTGTCCTCCTTGCTACCACAGCCCCCCTCCTCCCTGCTTCTCTGTTGGAAAATAAAAAACTTGGCGTGAAAACATGACCCTTGGTTCATGTGCACTCTGTCCTGGTGGACATAAATCACAGCTTTATGGAGGTCCCTGTTGTGGTCTACTAGATCAGTGTGCTCCTAGTTTTCCTTTTCTCACCCTGATCAGAGAACAATATTTAGACGTGGTGACCACAGAGGAGCAGGGGGTGAAAGAGGAGGGACGGGGCAGGTTTTCCTATTATCTCATACAACAATGAAATCCTGGGGCCTGGACAAGACACCCTGAGGCAGGTGGACTGAGAAATGCATACAGAGTAATGTATTGAGCTGCTTTGAGCTACATGAGATGTGACACTTTGTAAAATGTAGATTTAAGAAAAGAATTTGATGGTTTACAAATAATGTAAAGTCTGTTTTTATTGAAAAACTGAAAAGACAAAAAATAAAGTGTTGAAAATGAAAAAAAAAAAAGATTTTTAATTAGATGTCAACAACATGTTTCAACAACAACAGTTTGGACAGGGACAACAAAACGCTGAAGATGTTGTGTAATCCTTAATAAAGAACACTGGCACGATTATTTCCCGACTAATTCGGCTAACTAACAACAGGTTAACATAAAAAAGGCTTTTCAGAGGAGCTGAGTCTCAGAAGTACAGAGGGGAGGAGGTTTACTACTTTGTGGAAAAACTGGGTGAGGAGATAGTCCAGCAAATCCAGAATAATGTTCCTGAGTGTAAAATTGCAGTGATTTTGAAGATTTGATCAACTATCGTGCATAAATAGTGATTAAAACTTATTTTTACAGACTTGCTTTTATGTGATTTTGTCTTCTTTAAAACCTTAAACGCTTCTTAGTCATGTTTTATAATAGTCGCCTTGGTCTCAGGTTTGTGTGATTGGGTTCCTGTGTTGACTGGGTATCATGGGTTTTTATAATGTCTTTGTTTTAATGTCTTCATTTTAATGACCTTTCAGCTCACGTGACATTCATCAAAGCTTATTATTATTATTATTAGTAGTATCATTATCATCATTATTATCATTATTGTTATTATCATTATTATTATCGTTATTGTTATAATTGTTATTGTTGTTATTATTATTATTACTGTTTTATCATTATTATTATTATTATTGTTGTTGTTATTATTATTGTCATTATCATTATTGCCATTACCATTATTATTATTATTATTATTATTATTATAATATCGTCAGAAGAGTCAAAGACCATTGAACAGGCTGATATCTGTTGCTGGATGGTTATAATCTTTTGTCCCTAAGTCGACACTGCGTTATAAAGACATGGCTCTGTAGTGGAAATCACTACATGGGCTCAAACTCACAACACAGAGAGTGTTACTGTCTCCACAGGTGTAATTTGAAACATGAGCCATAAATACAAAACAAAATTTGACAGTTTTTTTGAAAATCATGTGATGAAAACCAGCATCCATGACGGCATAGGTAGTTTACACATGAGGGGGCAACATTAATACCGAACAAGAAGACCTCACGTGAAACTATATACCAAAAAGACGCCAAACTACACTTTGCTCCTATGACAACAGCATGGCTCGGTAGGAGAGGAGTCCAGGTGCTAAACCGGCCCGCCTGCTGTTATGACTTCTGTTGAAAACATTGAACGCATCGTAACTTGAAAACTATGACAAAGTGGACGCCAGACAGTTGAGCAGCTGAAATCTTATATCGAGCAAGGATGGAAACCACCACTTTTTTTCCCTCAACATTTTACACAGCATCCCAACTCTTCAAAACATAGATACCTAATCTTATTTGCACCAGCGCTTTATTCTTCCTGGATAGAAACCTCCTTGTTGAGTTGAAATCTGTCATTATAAGCACTACTTCTCTGCCTGAGCCTTAAATAAAGGGCCAAATAAGGAAATAAAATTCAGTTTTCACAGGCGTGTTTGAACACCACATTTTTGAATTCATCCACTCATCTCACGCCTAATCAGCTTAATTAGGAAAAGCGTGCAAAAATGTGATTTATGGACTGTTTATTAGGATTTTCTGAGGCAGGAGGAAAACATTCTTCAAAGTATCTCCTGACATGAAGAATGGGGAGCAGTCACAGAACCTGTCAGCAGCAGAGAAACCTCCAGGGCATCATTAGCAGAAAAAATAATAATTTAGACACTGGCTGACTAGATGATGGCGAGAAATCAGTGTCAGTTTCATTCATTTATGCTCTCACTGCTGTGCAATAATCATATTCCCTTTGGACAAACCGGGGAATGAGAGACAGATATACACAGCTCTGTTAAAGCTTCTTCAGCCAGAATCACGATGAATCAATTTAAAGTTAGAGTCAAATTCAAAAGCTAAATTTCCACAGCTAGTGAAGCTCCAAAACTGCTTTTCCACTGTAAGAGTACGCAACTGTAAAACACAGGATTTTTTCAAATGTTGTACAGCTCATTGAAGTCTTCGTTTAACAGCAGTACAATTCCTGGGAGCTCTTCTTTTGGCTGCTGGTGTCAATTTTGAAGACACTGATGCACAACCTGATGGTTTTTAACAATGTGTTCCTGTAGAGGGTCAGGAAGGTGTGCCAGACAGCGAAGCATAAGATGAGAATCTGCTCTGGAAAATATTTATGAGCTTCCTTTCTATCTTTCATAGACAGCCATTTAAAAGTTCAGTTAGATCATAAAAATAGCTTCAGCTCAGTGAGGTGGAGAGAAAAGCTCACGGCCACTAAGGTTACAGGATGTTGTTGTAAGGTCACTGTTGCCCCTTGGGGAGACAACGGAGATCAGGACCCAAGGCTTGGAGTGGAAACTTCCAAAGAGACCACTGACTTTACTTTAGCAGATAAACTGTAAAAACGCATCTCAAAAAGTAAATTAAAATAAGATCCTTCACAGTTTCTTGAACTTTGAGGGTTTGTGGATAAGATTTCTGCTTGAAGACAGATTATTCTATGAAGCCTGAGGTGGGGATGTGAGTGCTTAAGGAGGGCTTCTTCAACAAGTCAAAACGACCCCTTCAAAAGTGATATGACTAATGGAATGCCACAGGGCCATTTCCTTGTGTTTCTACAAAAAGCACTGGATGTTTATGAAGACACAGAGGTCTGCAGAGAGGAGTATTTATTTTCTTGACAATTCTGCAGAGAGTATTCTGGCCCTTCTCCTCCGTGACTCTCACTCAACAGCCATCCATTTGTATGCCACGGGGTTTATTTATACATTACAAGCCTTCATCAAGGCTAATTTGATGGGGGTAAAGAAAAGGGGGGAAAAAAAGAGTACACAAAAAATCTTATGAAAACGCAGCTGCTGCAAAGGGCAGATCCTGTCTAAATAAAAAGAGAAGTATCTTGGAATAATATACAATAGTGCCGAGGGGTCATGAGTAGGGTCATCCCCATAAATATACAGCAAATTCTTCAGTCACACACACACCGTGGAAGGACATGGCAAAATACAATCATTGGCCTGTTTGAGAATTACAGTTGTTTACATCAGTGTAGCGGGGAGGAAGTAGAGCGTTGGCATTAACAAAAGCAAAAACTGATTAAAAACGTCAAAGGATGTGAATTCAAAAGGGAGATAATGTAACATAGAGTGGATTCTAATAAAATATACAAAACGGTCTTTAAAATGAACATGACTTTGTACCTGAAATCAAGGAGGATCGTGACTCATGCGGACACAGTGTTTTGATAAACTTCGGTGTCTAAGAAAATGAACCGGCTCTGCTGAAATTTCAAACCTGTCATACCTCATAGAACGAGGAAGCTCAATATTTTCATTTTTGACCCTGCGTGTTTTGCCGTGATTACAAGAGGGGGTAAAAAAAAAAAAAATGACTCCATTAAGCTGACCTCTCCACCCTTTCATGTCTGGAAGGAAGTCATTACAGTTCTTTATACAGCTGACGAGGCAAGGCCAGTAATGATGGAGGGCTGGACTGAGGAGCTCCTATGTGCAGGGATACCTGTTTGAAGCTTCCTCTAAAGACCGTACAGGATACTCTGAAATGAAGGTTTGGAGCCCTTGAAAACTGAGAAGGCTGCATTAAGAAAATTGGGATAAACCCTTCATGGCTGCGCTCAGATTACCTAAATAACTCCACCACTTTTCGGTGTGGTTTTGTTTAAGTCTGCTTTGTTGGTCTCTTTCAGATTCACTTTTTACATTTATTTGTGAAACACACGTCGCTGGATTCTGAGCCTCGAAAGCAAAATCAGTTTTTTTGTGCCTAAACTTACAGAACTTCAGGTGTGAGTTACGAGGGATGATGTCTAAGGCCCCAATGAGGGAGGGGGGTAGATCGGGGGCCTTTCTGCATGAGTGACAGTCCAAAACAGTTCATCCATCAGAGTCAGGGTGGTCAGTAAAGAAGGGATGCTGGGAGGGTATGCCTCAGTGCAGAGGACCACCCAAAGCAGACAGTGTACACCACCTCACACCATGGAGCACAGACCAAACTGTAAGATTCACGCTGAGTCACACTCCAAATGAGGATGGGAGATGGTTCTGTCCCTGGCTGATACATAAGCTGACCGAAGGGAACGGATGAGCAACAGCACGAATGAGTCATCTCGAAAAAGAAGCCCTGCTCTGTCAAAAATAAAGTCTGAATTACAGAGAAGGTGAGGAGAAAGAAGGAAATATTCATAGGTATCAACCACATGACTCTTTTTTCCTGTCGTGACCGCCGTCTTTAGGACAGCAGCGCCATCAACAGGTTCCAGAGAAAAATCATTAGTCAGACAAACAGCAAAGCTATTAAAATATCAAGGTTTGGATCCAGAAGGAGGCATGTTGATTGTTCACGTCTGATTCCAGGTTATTCCTAAAGATGGCGCTGTGAATACTGTGAGTAGGCTTGGGTGACAAGAACTGGTTCCAACTTGGAAAACAAGATTCTGCTTCCAACAAAGTTAGATTTTCAACCCCAACTGTGTGACCATGAGAACAAAAAAACCTGATGTGAAATCAAAATTCTCAATGAGCAAGAGCTGGTTGTGCATTTTCTGTTCCCTGTTTGAAGTCCATATGAGGAGAGGGAGAGCGAACACTCAGGGCAGAAATATGTAATCATATCTCAGATATTGAGAAACTCCAGAAAACAACCTAATTTTGCTCCAGACATCTTGATGTGCAGATCATTTGTGTGTGGTCCGCTGGAGGCCATACTTGCTTGTCTGGTCATTAGCGCTTTAGCTTCACTGAAGGGGAACATTTTTGTGGTTACAGGGCAGTGCAATTACACCTCTACCCTCCATTTGTTTATATCTCTCTTTTGATAATAACCAGCGTTGCACTGGGCATTTCACTGTGGTTAACACGCTTGAGCTGGAGAGCAGACTTTCACAGAAGGAGGAGAAAAAAAAAACAGCTGATGCCTGATGAGGAAGAGTTGGCGAGCATTAGGCTAACACTGCCCTCTAGTGGGGATGAAAGAGAATTACTTAATACACGTACCTGGTCTTTAGATTTTGGGGAGGATGGGGATGATTCATAGTCCTTTTTGGTTTCAAGTATCTTTTTCACAAGGCCACCTTATGTGAGAGAAACAGTGAGAGAAAAAGTGAGGGATCGGTTTCCTCGCAGAACTAACAGATGGTTTGATTCGGCAAAAAAAGAAAACCTTGAGGACATATGGTGTTAGAGAAGAAGAAGACACAAAACAAAAGTGTCTGTGTGTACCGTGTTTGTCGTCGCTGTTGAATTCTTGTGCCGGCGCCTGTAACAGAATGACAGTAATAAAAACCAAGGCTTTTATTTCCCCGTTGGATAATTGAACGGCTCGCTGTTTATGGCACTTACCAGCTCCATCTCTGGGGCATCGGAGGGCAGAGGGGCCGCCTCCTCCACGACAAATTGCTCATCTTCATCCTCCTCATCCTCAGACAGTTTTTTCCCGTCCATGATTACTGGTGCTGAGGGCTTGGCACTTGACAGCCTGAAAGACAGGATATTATTAGACAGTTACAAACACCATGGCAACCGACACACACTGGTCCAATAATCTTAGCAAGGATCCATCTCTCCTGCTGGCTGGGGCGCTACATTTTTAGGGGCTATGTACAAATGTAAGAGATTCTTATTGATTCTATTGGGAGTTATTGTTATAAAATGAGTGAATCAGTGGGATGGAATCACCTCTCAGCTGGGGTCACGTCAGTGGAGCTCTCTTGTCTCTTCACACGGGGGGGTGCAGGGCGAGCACTGCTGGGCCGGGGTATTCTTCTGCTGCATTAAAAAGGATAATTAATATCACTAAAATAAGACTGTAAACTTCAAATTAAGAATGCATGCACTTTTAAATGTGGTGTACATGTTTGTTGATGATGTAAATAGCAGTAAATTTGCCATAACCCAGCTGTAAACCCAATCAGAACATTCCTAATGAATCAAATCACAGGTATTATAGTCAGGTGTAAGATTTAACAAACTTTAAAGAAGTAAAACTCCCAAATGTATGATGAGAGTAGCGAAATGCAGGCGTAAGGATGTCGATTGTACAGACCTGGAGGCGATTTCAGACGAAGCGCCTGCAATGTCTCCATTCTCCTGAGGAACAGGTCTCTGGGCTGATTGACCGTCTCCTTCTGTAAAAGAAAACAATAACCTGCTGTCAGCTCAGCGTCGTCAAAATTGCAAAAATTAAACCAGCCCTTACATCATGGATCCTAATGGATTGTTAAAACAAGCGCATACAAATGTGCCTTTTACCTTCGCTGTGGATAATTCACAAGTGATAAGGACACATCAGCTGAGTAACATAGAGTGAGTTCTAGCCTCCTTGAGTTACCAGATCCCATACTATCTCAAGTCAGATTTTCTATCCTCTTTTAATTCCATTATAATTGCCTTATGCATCCTCATCATTGTAGCTCCCTCGACTCTTGTGGTTTATTTCTGTGTTTTCCCCTTCTAATTTTATTCTACTTTCCTTTTCTTCTGCTCCAAAAGTTTGTTTAAGGACATTTTCTCTCTCACTGGGCGGAGGAACAAGCAGAAGCTAGTATAGGTCTATGAAACTAGGCCACGTGTGCAGTACTTTCATTGATGGAATAAACCAGGTAGACTTGTTTGTATACTTCTAGGACACAACTGCCCTTACTCATACAGTGTGGCACCCATCACTTAAACTTGCCCTAATCTTAAAGGAATGCAAACTCTTCAGTTAGACAAGTTAACAGTTAAAGGGTGGTGATTTTTCTGCCTTTTCTTTCCTTACACATGTGCCTCGTTTTATTATACACATCAACCAGATATCATTGTGAAATTTTATTACCCTTTTATCGCTGAAGCTGACAATAGTTAATTTCTGCTCTTGAAATCAAGACCAATGACTCTCCCTTCATGACAACATTTTGCGAGTTTGTTTAAATCCTTTGCGGTTGTTTTTTCAAACCACCACAAACAAAAGAAGTAGAGGCCACTTACCCCCTTCACTGTCAGACTCATCTGTTCAGGACAGAAAAGGGGAAGGGGTACAATGACTGTGATGAAAAGCAGAACAAATGAGCACTGTACACCTTAAAAATGTCTTTGGGGGGGGCAGGGGTACAAGAGTTCTTGTACTGTTTCTGCTAATAGTGAAGAAAAGAGTCAGAAGAGAGCTGTCAACTACCTTGGCATACCGAAGAGCCATCCTGTTAATTATTACAGCTCAGTTAAGACCTCTTTATTAACTACAGGTTATGCTTCATTGCCTAGAGTATTACAAACACAGCGTTGAGAGGAAGACTTACCCTGACTTCCAATTTTTGGTCTCCGCCTCTGTCCTTTGGCAGATGAAGGCCGAGGTATTCTCGCTGGACTCTCAGACTTTTAGAGAATGACAGACAGAGACGCAGGGATATAATATTAGGACACTGTGCAGTCACCTGTTTGCAACCATTTATTATCTTCTTTCTCATATTTCTCAAGTGAGCCACAGTCACACCAAGGAATGGTACAGTATCAAACACAATAAACACTTTTCATAGAAATTATCAATATGATGCAAGAAGAGAACACTGTGGTTATAAGGAAGATAAAGTTCTTGATATTATGCTGGTGATCAATACCAGATAAATAATGAATGAGAGCAACTCATCCTGGTTCTTTGCTCCCACCTTGCAGCCCTTTTTTTTTGAGTGTATTGAGTTTCTCTAATAGGACGAGCAGTACACTGATTCTTACCTGGTTCTCAGCTGCTTCTGTGGGCTGCAGAGACAAAGAGCAGGACATTATATCCTACACATTAAAGTCCAACAGAGAAGGAGAAAGAAAGTGAACAAGGTCTACATTTATGTTGAACACAGTCATCGGAAAATTTCATTTATTTGACTTCACATATATGAAATTCTGCCACCCTCATGGCTGAATTCAGAGGATCAATATGACATGATTATTCTGCGTAACGATCGCACTTACCGCTGGCACGGGTTTGGCTGTCTTACTGGGCTCCTCAGAGCTGCCTTGTTGCTCCTCTGACACTCTGACCTAAACAAGAAGAGACAAAATAGGTAAATAAGTCCTTCTCCTGCCATTGTTAATTTGAGTAGGAGTAAGTGACGTACCTTGCTTTCGCCACTCTCTCCGCCTTTGTTCCTCTCTTCCCTCTCTTTGTGCCGCTCTCTGTCCCTCTCCCGCTCTTTATCTCTGTCTCTTCGTTTTTCTTTGTCTCTGTCTTGATCTCTGTGAGAATCTCTCTCCCTCCTCTTTTCTCTGTCTTTGTCTTTTTCCCGATCCCTCTCTCTGTCTTTCTCCTTGTCCCTGTCTTTGACTCGTCCTTTGTCTCTATCCTTGTCTCGATCCCGGTCGCGGCTCTTGTCTTTGTCTCGGTCTTTGGTGTGATGGTCCTGTTCACTGCGGCGGTGCTTGTCACTGCGTTCTCTGTCCCGGTGGTGTTCTTTCTCTCCATCTCTGTGTCTACCGTCCTGCTCTTTGGGCTGGTCCGGGTCCTTCTTGTCTCGGCTCCCGCTGCGCTCAGTGATCCTTTTCCTCTCCTAAAGTTGTGAATGCCAAGATAAAGCATAAATATTTAAGAAAAAAACACCTCTCTTGCCTCGCAAAGAAGTTATCTCTTTCTTTGACCCAGGCTTTAAAAGGCTTGGTACTAACACAGTCAGAACATGTCTTAAACTATGTAGGATAAATCATTTTATAACAGATTTTATATCCACATTTTTAAGTTGACTGTGGACTCTCACCTCTCTGTCAGGATGGCGCTCACGTCCCTCTCTGTTTTCCTTGTCCTGGGACCTGGAGGTGCTTGCCTTGGTCTTAATGTCCACTTTTTCTCCCGCAAGCACTCGCCTCACCGCGTCGTCACTTGACAACTGCAGATTAAATGCAGGAGAATATTTTTATATATTGTTAAAACTTATATTGGATGAGTTTTATTTAAGCAGAATTCCTGGGTTCAAACCCTGATGAGAAACATCTACCATTCTTAGTTTTCAGATCAAGGCTGAGAACACCACCTGCTCTTCACAATGAACCTGATGTTCATGTTTACAACTGTGCATTGTGACTCAGTCAGTACACTTGTGTTCTCTCCTTTCCCAGTTGGATGTCAACTAATAACAGCAACCCAGAGTAGGTGTGCTCGACTTAGTTCAACACAGCAGGGAGCAATATCCCCATTATTATGCTCCTGTATGCTTGAAAATGTTTGAACTGCAGACTCACTTGTTTTTAGCCAAGAATGATAAAAAGAAGCAGGCAGTGGCTGTGACTTATGGTCAAAGGAACAATAGAAATATGGTAAAACTCTGTCAATTGAAAAATGAACGCACATCTCTGACCACACCTTTACAATGGAAGTAAATATGAGAGGCCGCACTCGCAGGTTAACAATAAAGTACATGCTTTGGTTGAAAATGCCCTCAATTTTCTTTGCACCATAAATGTTGCTACACTCAAAAAGTTGCTCAATAATTTGTAAAAACATCATCTTATATGTTGTTATCACTAATTTCCTTAAAATATCAACATATAATCTTTGGGCTATATTCTCTGACTACTGACATCATCTTGGGCATTTGCAGTTTTTTTCTTACAAGCTGGAAACCAGTTGTGCGGTCTCAGTCAAAGCTGTGACCAGATATAGATTCAAAGCAGACATTGAAGACTTGCAGGAGATCCAGGCTGATTAAATTTAAATCAACAACACAGGATACGTTACATAATCAAAATAAAGTTTAAAGAACAACTATCCCCCAGGCGTCTGCCCGCCTGTTTACACTCCTCCTCTAGAGTTCAATTAGAGTATTTTACAGATCTCCCCAAGGTAGTGAGACTGTTTCCCCTGGAGTACACATCTAGAAGATGACACCACATTTGCTTTCTTTGAATGTTTCCTTGTACAGACCTTGTTGAGGCAGCACTTGGCGATGGCCTGCAGCAGCTCGTTGGTTTTCTCAGGCTCATGGCCGGCTACAATACGTGCTGGTTTTGCTGCCAGGGGCTCGCCACTCACCAGCATCACCACATCTATTGCTTTCTGGAGGAAGACTATCTTTGAATCCTTATCCTGGACAGAAAAAAAAGCAGATATGAACGCACAAAGGAGACAGAATTTGCTTGTTACTGTAAAGGAACTTAAGTTTGTTTCCCATATTGATGAGTGACAACAATAAATGTGACTGTACTTTTTCTTTATAGGGTGTTGACTTAAAATATCAAGATTTATAAGTCAGGAGCAAAGCATGAAAAGTGTCACAAGTACCCCTTTTTTGGGATTTCATTGGGTGGCAAGAGAGAGGATGTGGAAAACCTGAATTATGACAAAGACTGTCTTTAGAATAAGTAAACATTTATTGGTACTATGATTTTATTACTGCAAGCAAGTAAACGAAACAAGATCTGTTCCAGACTAATGACCCGGTTAAGCGGTGTCAGCTGCATCTGAGAAGTCTGCCAACTGTGTAACATAAGGACTTGTAGCCTGTGCAACCACCCAACCCTTCTGTATAACATCTGATAATCAGCTGCCCTTTCTAACGAGCAACATAACCTCGCACAGGTATTCAATGTAGGCAAATAATGCACTACAGACATATTTGAAAAGGCAGGCTTAATGAAACACATTACAGGTTTGCATCAAGGATTAGCATCACTATTTTGTATCAGTCATTGGGCACAGTTCAGGATGGTTGCTCGAGTATGTGGCGACAGGTTGCCTATCCAGGTTTAACAAAAGAATGACATCCCTACTTTAAATGACAGAATTTTGTTTTAAAAAAGAAAAAAAAAACCATGACAAGAGACACAATAAAATATAGATTTTCAAAATGAGCTACTTCATATGTTGTACAGCGTTAAAGCATTCTTAATCCTTCCATACTCCTGACCAGTATTGAAGTACAATCAGCTTAAAAACTACAGACTTGAGTTCTGACACCTTGGCAGACACTTTAGTCATGTCCTGCCAGATCCTCCTGCTCAGTGTGTCTCAAACAGTGTAAAGTTACTCACACACACGCACACACATATACTCAGACACCTGCAGACTGACCAACGTAACACGGGGATCTTGAACACATAATTGGCTTATGCCCATTGAATGTATACTCTAATAATACTCTAAAAAGAGGCTCTTTTGGTTTATGTAGTTAAAGGTAGAGGTAATAAAAGTAGTCAAGATCAATCTGAAGTGTGGCGTGTTTTTACTTACCTTAACATTATCAGACTTCAATTCATTTTCTCCATACAGGCCTTTCATAAAACCAGTGGTCCTGATAACCTGAAATAAAGGTTTCAAACTCTGTCAGATTCATTTGCTTTCATAACTGTTTCATCCGCCTTATATAACACATATGATGTCATACAATAGCTGTACTACAGCATTAGTTCCTAAATGGGCAGCTTACAGTCGGCCCTAACTACTAAAATCAATCCAGGATCCAGCATCACTGCTTTTCTGATACATGGTTTGGCTCTAACAACCATTTCACCACTAAAGCAGAACTCAAAATACACAAAGACTATCCAAACAAAGGAAAAAGAAAAGGCTAGTGCAATTCTTTCAATTTATTGTTAGCTGGAATAAAACTGCGGCCTTGTCATCTCAGTCCAGACAATATCTATTCGGAAAATGAAGTTGTCTGCTCAACTGTGCAGGCAAGCATGTTGCTAATCACATGAAAAGAGTCACACATGCCAACACACTTCACTTCATCCAATATGCATGAGCATACAGTGAAATATTATCCTCCTCAACAGATGGAGGGTGAGAACGAGGTCTCACCCTGGTTAAGAAAAGTGAAACAGATTTTGCTGTGGTTGATACATGGTGTAAGGGAGCTCTGTTGCATAACGACAAAGAAAGGTCATGTAGTCTGTCAAACCCAGTTTCATCATAGGTTTGACACAATGCCAGAGTGGTGGAGATCATTACACTGAAACAATAGTTCTTGTTTTAAGGGGTAGGGAAGAGTGGGATAAGATGAGCCATTTTTCATATTTCGGATCACTACATCAAGGCGATCATAGTTTTGTCTCTAACTAGTGTATTTGCATATATTTCAAGATGTTGTTCATCCCTACAAACCAACAGAAGGAAACATAACTGTCTTGATAATATAGCATGCCAAAAAAAGTGGTCTCCTATTTTACTATTTCCAAGCAACAGGAGATGGCTCGACATACCCTTTGGCTCAACTTAGCCCACTCCCCCCTATCTGGACCAGAGGATAACTGCTATGACTTGTTTAACTGATGCCAACTGTAGTTAGAGACATTGGCTGAAAAGGCCATGACTCAAAATTAACCTGTAACTCACTCATTAATGTACCGGTGTACCCAGTTTTCATGCAGCTTTGTTGAACACAAAAACGGTGTAGAAACGGCTAAAATACCCTGAATATTCCTAAATTAGCTGCTAATTTGGTCGTTATGGTCCTGGCAGCCGACAACTTCCAGTTCAGGGTACATAATAGTGGACAGAATGGGTTTGTTGACTCCTGTGTGGGTTCAGGTCGTGCCTAGCAACTGGACGACGCCGTGCACGCGGATAGTGAGCTAAGGGCTATCAGGATTCAAATCGATAACTGTACTCAAACTTAACGGTTGAACGGCTTGAAGTACCCGTACCAAGTGTGCTCTGTATGATCCAGGGCGACTTAAAAAAGCCGAGGAATAAACTGCGAAGTTATTAGCTAGCTCATTTAGCGAATTAGCATCGTTCATGCTAATAAGCTAACTAGCTTACTTCTCAGTGCATGTAGACAACGTAGGTCAAGCTGGCAATTGACTTTTAGAAGATACTAGTAAAAGATACTTGAGTGATGGTTAAACAGAGCCCAGTTGTCCGGTGTTATCCTAACATTAGCACAGCAGTCTTACCTCACTGAAGATGTCGTGTAGGTATTTAAACGGCGGTTTGCTCAGCAGTTTCTCCGAGAGTTGCGGTCTCTTTATGACTTTACCCAGCGTGTCCTGGGTCTTTTTTACTACTGCCTCGTTCATGGCAGCGGATAACGGCGAGGCCTGCGAATTTTACTCAGAATAGACTGCGAAAAAGCTAAAACAGGAGGAGCAGAGGAGGTGGCTATGTCGGCTGGTTGCTATGTCAATACTCTGCAATCCCACAGTGCATCACCAAAGACGACTGCGCATGCGCCCAGAGCTTATGGTTGCCAAGCGCTGCATGTGTCCATAGCAACAACTAACAATATGCAAAAAATGAACGTACAAACGCGTGACCTTGCGTTTCACATGGTTAAAGTAGCGGCCCATAAAGGAGGATAAATTCAAAACTTCAACTTTATTTTTATGGCATTTTTCAGACAAAAATGCAGTTCAAAGTTCCTCACAGAGGCTAAAAACAACAATAAACAACGACAAAACCCGACCCTCCCACCCACACACCCACCAATGGACCCATACTCACATAAAGACACACACCCACATTATAAGAAATTATAAGGCGTCTTTGAGGAAACTTTGAGTATCATTTGAGTATCTCATTGCTGAGCCAAGTGTCCTAGTTTTCGGTAATTAAAACATGGTCACCCTGGATAAGACCCTGGGTCCTGCCATATAGCCATCATTGCCATCACTAAATAAACTATCTGATCTGAGTGACGTTCCTTGAAAATGCAGTGGAGTCAAAGGTACAATACTTGTCTTAAAATGAAATGTTTTTAGATTCATACATTTCCTCCTACCATTAATACTTGAATCAAGTACAGCTACTCAAAAATGTTCTGAAGCACAGCACTCGAGTAATTTATGTCATTACTATCACCACTGCTTTTCAACACACACCCTATTTTAGACAATCAAACTTGAACTGGGCCTGTATAGCTTGGCTTCCCTGTAGGATTATGTCTTTTTTGTTGCAACACCTTATGAGACTATGCACACGCACACAAAAAGATGCCATTCAGCTAGGTGGTTTTGCAGCCAATCTATCAATCAGCCTGTATCACTCAACACTCTAGATCTCAGTCTGTGTCTTTGAGCAACTGGTCTTCTTCATTTATAGTAAACTCCTTTGATATACCTGTTTGGTGAGTCTGACTGAAAGACAAAACCCATCAGATAAAAGAGAAGTCAAAAAGAGGAGTGAGCACAGATGCTTGTTGCTTCTTGCTGTCAAGGTAGGACACCTATTTCTGCCACTCCAGAGGACAAAAATACTTAAACTTTGCGTTATATTTGCTATAAATACCCCAGTCTTTGTTTGAATTATAGATAGAAGGAATTAAACGCTTGTTTCCTTGTATATATTTCTTATAGGAAACTTGGTAGTCAGTTAGGGCTTCTTTGACTCTTGATTTTTTACGTTACTGTTCGTTCAGTGGTACACATCAAAGTTTTCATAAGGTTTCGTTTAAAGCAGATGGGCTGAAGGGGTTTGAAATAGTGCTCTAGTGTAGTATTTCATCGCAAAAACACATAGTTATATCTCTAAGTCTCATAAAAGTAACCGTAATATAGTAGCATCTGAAGCTTTCACTTTACATTTAATATGAAGATGATGTTTAGGAGTTCTGTCTTTAATTCATCTCTAGATATAATTGCTCTCAGTGCATTCACTTTCATCAGTCTTGCCAAGCTTGTTAGGCGAGTCACTTGCAATGGCAGGTATCACGAAAACCCTGTCATCACTAAATGCTGTTTAAAGGAACATCACAACATTTCTGCCCGCTGTCATTTCAGCTCCCTCAAAGGATAGGAAGTGATGCTTCGCTGGGTCTTGTTCGCTTTGTTCTTTGGTATTTGTGCCGGTGCCGGAGAACAGAAGAATGGGGCAGCAAAGCCTGAGTCCTTAGCAAGAGGTGAATGATTTTGGAGCTATTACATCTCAAGAACCCTGAATTTGTTGTTCTGAGCTTGACTTTGTGTCCTAAAATGCACTGACTGATCCCACTTTTTGGTGGTGTGTCCTGCAGGATGGGGGGCTGGCATTTCCTGGGCTAAAACTTATGAGGAAGGGCTGTCAAAGATGATTAAAAGGTAAGAGAGTACACCTGGACAACAGCTCTTATTTCTATTCTTTATGTGGACACTAAAGTTGGTAGGAGGAGACTGTAGATGAAAACTGCAATATGTGAATTTTTATTATGTGTGATATACACTCAAGTGAGGGGCCTAACAGATGGTGTGCATGAGTTACTATCACCTGATAACACAGTGAGCAGAAAGCTAGCACACACAGCTCCTAAAAATGCTGCTTTCAAATCATCAGTCACTTTTTTACAGTCCTTTACAGCACTGCATATGACTGTCCACACGCAGTCTTTCAGTCACTCGTGTCTGTAATAGTGATGAGGTGACTGGCAGGTTCAGTTAAGGTGACAAAGCTTCATCTATTCACTCACTTGTGGAGTATAACGCCATTATGTTCTTTTGTCAAAGGCTGGTCTATTACCTCACACTTCAAATTTTAATTTCCCTGGGATAATGCTGCACATTCACACCCACTATTGTGCTTATTGTGCTGAGGAATGTGTTCAGTTGTTTCTCCGTGGTTTTCTCTCACAGTAAGAAGCCTCTGATGGTCATCCATCATCGGACAGACTGCCCGTACAGTCAAGGTACTGCACTTACTTTGTTTCTACAGATAAAAAATATTGAGTATAAAACAACAGGCTAGCACAAACCGCACAGTCCCTCTAACCCAGGCGTGGGCTTGGCGTCACGGGGAACACAATGAGTGCGTTCCTTCATACCTGCTGAACAGGCACTGCAAAAAAAAAAAAAAGAGAGAGAGGTTGGAATTGTATTCATAAATCACACAGCTGGTTTCCTGAGAGTCAGCTCTGCAGAAGTCTCCACTGGTGTTTCTTAATGCCTAAACCTTACAGACCACCTACAGGGCAAAATCTGGCTCTCACTTCTGACTTTTGTTTTGTTTTATGAAACACTTGAATGTCTTAAAGCCTGAATAGATCAGCACAGCATTTGAAAACCTTCCATAACCAAGACTAATCTAAATGGAAAGGCAATAAAAACATGTATTTTATTCAGTCATAGCTTAAATACTACACAACCTTTGCTATGAACACTGCAGATCAGCTGTCTTACCTGTAAAACCTGTTCAGCAAGACAAAAGCACGGGCCAGACTTTTGTGAACATGACCTCGAATAACTAACAATACCAAATTTAAAATTCCTGCTTGTTCTTTGTAATTATCAAAACTGCATCTGCATTATAATGACTGTTATAAAAAAAAACTCTTTTCCTTGACCCTTCAATCGAAACTAAACAGACATCTCTCCACAGAGCTGAAGAAGGCTTTTACTGCCAACAAGTCCATCCAGAAAATGGCCAAAAAAGATTTCATCATGCTCAACCTGGTGGTAAGAAATTAAAAAACAATAGCAGATGTTTCTGGATTTATTAATATCACTTTTTGTTTGAAGGATTTGTTCAGAATATGGCGTTCCTTGTCTAAAAAGATCATTCCTAAACCAATATTTTATCACCTTTCTATGGTTTAAGCAAAAATATCCCTCTCTATGAAAGTAAAAAAGGTCATTATGAAAATATGATCTTGGTGTTGCCCTCTAAGACAGTAACTTTTCCTCTACTCATAACAGAACAACTTTTTTTTTTCTTCTCTTAACAGGAGGAGACTCCAGACAAAAATATGGCCCCTGACGGCTACTACGTCCCCAGAATCCTCTTTGTTGGTAAATACTTGCTCTCCTTACCCTTTAACACTCAAAGTTCCACAGCGACTTTTATGGGTTATAACAGAATGAGGATTCGAGTGTGACAGATGGCATGAGTACAATGATGTATTTTTAATGGATGTGTGGGACGTGTCAGGGAAAGAAGCACCTATTTGGCACCACCATTTGTTTTCTCATTAAAGACAGTATACTTTGTTTATTCCTGAGGGTGACTTCAGTTCTAGATTCTGTTAAACATGCAACACACAGACCAGAAAAACACAGTCAGGGTTACCTTTGGCACATATGCAAAGTTTGTATTGGTTTCTGGTACAAAAATGAGTACAGGTTAATAACATACAAATCTATCTAGCAGCTCTCGACTCTTGAGAAACCTTAAATGAAGTAATATAAAATCAATGACAGTATAAAATGATATCAACAAAACTTAATCAAAGTGTATGCAAAAGATGCTATGGAGAGCTTTACATGCTTGCAGGGGGGCTGAAAGATAGTGTTGTGTTGTTCACGAACGAGTCGTTAAAAAGAACTGAACGAAGTGAACCGAATCACTTCCCTGAGTGATTTGTTCATTGCTCACTTCAGTTGAGATGAAGTGAGAAACAGCATTGCCAGGCCAGCAGCTGGCAAACGAGGGACCACATGCACCGACGCCTGAATCACTTGATGAACGGATCACGCATTGAACTACACTCTCTGGGATCATTTTTGTAGGACAAAACTTCCTTTTTTTTCACTGCTAAATTGCCACCACAACAACTTGCATACAATAGGACACAGCATGTAACAAGTAGTGCATTAAACCCGCAGCATCCTATCAGTACAGCGGTTTGCGAGGGAACGGTGCATGTTCAGTGTGAATTCTTCTAAACGTTCAGTGAACGGATCACTCACTGAGCCCAATTCACCAAGCAGACCTGGTAAAAATAGCATACCATAGAACAGTTCACTTAATACATCATGACTTATAAACAGGTTTATTTTTACAAACCTGTCTGCCAAAGCAAAACAGCCAAACACTCTCGTCTTTCGGTCCCAGAAGCTATGAACTGAATTGAATCCTGAACCGTTAAGCTGTGTATCAGTTCAGGAGGTCAGAGTCATAGGCTTCTCCCGCTAAATGATTAGGCGATTTGGTGAACGAATCTTTTGAATGAATCTTTTTAGTGAACTAATTCTAGTGATTCAGTACATCTAAAAGAACTGCCGTGCCCATCACTACTGCAAGATGCTGGTCAAGGAAATTCTTGCATACAAATATAAAAAGACAGCAAACAGTGTTGTTGACAATTTTTAAGTCCAGCTGGTGAGACTGTTAGACTGTAATGAGTCTGATTAATCAACTTTACTGTGATGTTAAGTTTCCCTTTAGACGGCATAAGAGTCTGTATCAAGGTGGGTCTGTATTGGCCACAGGGAGCACCAGAACATGTTGCACTGCAGGTCCACTCCCACATGCACCACAAACAAACAGAAAACACAAACATGCTGCAGCAAGTGCACCATGCATGAGGGACAGAGGCATCCTTCATAGGATTTGACTCTAATATAGATGAACTGTTCCTGCTGTTGTGCGAGGTTTTGGTCCAGATGGACGGTAGAGAGGGTCTCGAAGAGTCTTGGTCTGGGGTGAGAGGTCACAATCTCACTCGCATACAGTGGGGTCCTGGAGGTGTAAAAATCCTGCAGAGATGACAGCCTGCATAGTATTGGTTGCTATGCACCAGACTGTGATGAGGGAGGACAGGATGGTGGTGTAAAGTGAGCCATCACTGCCCTTGACTAAAAGTACACACATCCTCTGCTGTCCTTTTTGAATGATGGTCCACAGGAGGCAAAGAGACTCCACAGTGGAAACTGGGGAGTCACAGAGGGTGATGAGGGTCAAGTGTGGCTGCATTTTTGTTAAAACCCACAACCATCTCCACTGTCTTCAGAGAAATAAACTCCATGATATTCTCACTGCACCAGATGGTCAACCTCCCACCTGGAGACAGAAGGTGACCATCTGGAGGGTCCTAGAAACATGCACCAGTGGAGAGATATCAGAGTGAGGGGGCTGCACGGAGACTTGTACCAGAGCAGTTAGCTCAGTGCCACGCTCAAAACACCACTCCACCTAACACGCCACTTTCTTTACTTCTGTCCAGGTCCTAACCATCTCTTTCACTTTCACTTCTTTCTCTCACTGTTATCAAAATGTGTTTCCCACTAATGAAATGTGATCCTGTGACAAATGTGACAATCATGATCCTCCTCCTGATAATCTGGGTGATGTGTTTTCTGCAGATCCATCCAAGGCAGTGCGTGATGACATCCGAGGGAGGTACAGCAACCATTTGTTCCACTACAAGCCTTCAGACATGGACCTTTGTGAGTGACCGTTTCCTTTCTCTGATGACAGTTTGGAGGGATGGCACACACCTCACCTGTCAGCAGGAGTGCAGCTAAACTGAGATGTTTTCAAAAAGCATGATGCCAAACATTTCATATTTTTCATTTTGAAGATTTAAAAAGAAAAAAATTAGATAAGTCTTTTAGGTCAGTGGAATAAGTTAGGACAAATCTGGTAACACAGGCAGGTATCTGTTGTGTTGGTTGTTTTTTCTCATTCCTCCTCTCTTTCTTTCAACAGTGGAAGAAAACATGAAGAGAGCCAAAATTCCCCTGAAAAGGCACAGCGAACTCTAAACTGGCTGAGCGCTGAGATCAGGGATCGACACAGAAATGTTTACATGTTGTTCAGAGATCAATAAAACCAAAGTGAATGAACGCAATCTAAGTGGCTGCTTCTCAGGGTTGACAACCCATTACATTTACCCACATTCCTATAACTGTGTTGTTTTTTGTGTAGTTGGACTTTTTATAGTGATTTAAAAACAGAACTTTTGATTCCACTCATGTATTTTCTATTGAAGGGATTGCACTTTGCTTCTTTTCACATTGCATCAGTGACTGTGTACAAAAAATCACAGAAAATACAGGCAGCAGCATGCAAGCATCTCTTTTTAATCCACTATTAATGACTGTGGTGAAGAAAAGTTTCATTTTCAACAAGAAAACAACATAAAAACCAGAATCTAAAATCTTGATCCATATTGACTGGAAGTAACAATCATAACATTTGACACTGGTGAGTTTTAACCACTAGGGGGCAGCATAATATTGACGCCAAAGGTCCTGTGATACTTCCTACTTAAATAATATCTCTATGCATGCATCTTGATTAAGACATTTAGGCTTAATTACATGAATAAAAGACGTTATAATAAAAAGAATAAGCAGGAAATATACTTTGCACATTTTTTATGTTGGAAAATGAGATTCCTTATTTAAAGGCTTCACAGCTTCAGAGCAGCTCTTCAAAGACGTACAGTCATTGTCCCTCTAGCTTAATTTTTGTGCATGATAACTGTAGAAGAAGATCACTTTACAAAGCTCCGGCTCTCTCAGAGCAGAGCTGTGCTGAAGAGCCACAAATATCCCTGATGCTGTTTTCTGCTGTCATCGCTGGGATTAATGAGCTGTTTTTAATTGTTGTTGTCCCACTGTGGTAAGCATGTATATCCACCTTTTGAAGTAAAAGTGTGCTGACTGATGCATACATCATATATCAGCAGGGGTGACTCTTCTGCAGACTTGCAATAGTGTCAGCGTTAAACAAAAAAACCTTATTAGTACTAACAAGATGCATCCTGAAACCTTTCTATTTAGCATTTCTTTGAATAGAGAAGAAAATAAGTGTAAATGGGTCAGTAACTCTCATTGCGCGGTGTTATACTTCCTTGATATCTACTGTAGGAACTGATCACTAAGAAACGGTTGAATTATTCACTCATCTGTTCCTTTTTTTCTCTATTTCACTGTCAGCGCAGACGTCTGATGCGTCTGTTCCTGCTCTCCTCTCATGTTTTTCAGATTTCTGTCTTTCAGATGGACCCACGATGATTCTGCAGGAACTCCAGAGATTTCTCCCCTGACTACTTTTCTCCAGAAATAGGTGTCCTGACTTATAACAAATGTGTGTTCTCCCAGACTTCCTTGTAACCTGGGTCCAATAACACCCAGTCTGGCTCATTGCAGAGCTGTTTCAGAGCTCTGTAACACAACGCTGCAGGAAAAATCCTGTCACACACCTGATTCCTCCACAAATGGCCATCCCACTGTAGGGATTTTAGCTAGTTTACTATAAAAATGTCTATTTCCCACAAAAAGTATAAACATTCTGGTTACATCGAAATTACAAGGTTGCTGTTTCCCCTCCTGGAGGTCTCCTGTCTTTATATACCCATAATTCCAATTTCCTGTTGTCAGTGGTAACCTTGAACACACGTCTTGTCTAGACTTGAAGAGACCTTGTGGGAAACCAGAGTCGAACTTTGGGGAAGTTTTGTTCAAGTAACAAAGAAACTTTAGTTTGTTAAAAAAGTTGACAAAGGAAAAGTGATCTTGACATTACTCTGCATAAAGTGCAACAGCTCTGTGAATGAAGTCCATCTCGTTCAACTCTGTTTAGCAGTTTATTGAAACCACCATCATCACATCGATCAACGAAGTTAAACTGTTGGACTATTTGCTCACGCAGTTGTTGACAAAGTGGTCAACTTAATAGTGATGGACATGGCAGTTCTTTCAGATTTACTAAATCACTAGAATCAGTTCACTAAAAAGGTTCGTTCAAAAGATTCGTTCACCAAATCACCGAATCACTTAACGCTTGGCAGGGTAAGCCTGCGATTCCAACCTCCTGAACTGGTACACAGCTGAACGTTTCAGGATTCAGTTCAATTCATAGTTTCTGGGACTGGGAGACACACCACTACGTTTTCAGAAAAGTTTTCGTTTACACTAACCCGTGTATATATGCCTTCAAGAGCTCAAGCCCACGTTAGCCAATCAGAATCCTGCATAGCAGCCACAACAACAAAATCACTTCCTTCTTTCTGGCGCACAATCTGCTGTCAGCTACCCAAAGCTTCGTTTTTCTCTGTTTACATGCAAACATGCTAACAGAGTTTTCCAATAATCTCCACTTTGGCTGGAGATTTTAAAAAGCATCATTTTCAGGGGCGAGTTCTACGTTTGCGTTTAAACAAAGGGTGCAAACGATAGTTAATGTCTCCATTTTTAAAAATAACCGGGTACGTTTAAACGGGGCCTAAATATCGTGTCTTTGTAGCGTATTCAATTGATTTCAGATCATAAAGGATTTGCAAATCAGTGTTTTCTGTTATTATTCACTCACACAGTGTGGGTTCACCTTGACTGACATGCAGGCGCGCTGTATCTGTTAGCAAGGAGGCCAAAGGTTCAGCTCGACTCCATACCGTTAGGTCAACCAAAGGTTAGCTTGAATCAACAAGCAGAGATGACGTCACATTGTTCGGTCTATCTACAGTCAATGACAGCTCGAACATTCAAAAAACACCACCAAAGTAAAAATTGCAATATAAAAACAAATTAAGGATGTAAACATTTACTAAAATACTATTACTGAACATGCTATCAGCCACACGCACACACCCAGGCAATCTCAGGTCCAAGATTCTTCACTTTGACTTTGGCGGTGAGGCCGCCTGTGACAAGGGCACTGGGCTATTAGTTGTCGTTTGCACACTGCTTGGACAATTTAGTTATTCAAATAGAGGCGCTTACAGGAAAACAGCTCCTTAATGAAGAGGTGGCCCGGTAATATGGCATAAATTTATTCTTTTATTCTTCCCATACCCTATAAATACACCCCCCGGACGCTTATAGAGCCATTAGGTACACCTACGCATATGTAATCTTAGACACACACTTCAGTGCATAGGTTGACACACAAACACAACCGCACACACGCTTAAAGAGTAGACTGATGGTACGACTTGCTCAAGCTGGGAGCAATTTCACCACGTAAATCAAAAAAGGTCAAAATGCAAATGTCAGCTTTTCGCCGTCGTGCCTTTTTAATTATTCTGTCAGGTTCAAAGAGTCTTCATCAGAAAGGAGCGTCTGTGACAAAGGAAGGCCTGAGCTCACAGATAAGCTCAATCTGCGTCTCCTCTTGACACTTCCCTCTCTATACTTGGTCTATCTGCACTCCTCTCACACACACAGCGACACTTAGCGCTACCTCAAAGTGAATTACAATGTACGAGTGTGAACACGGTGCCAAAGACGACGTTTAGTAATTACCAGCTGACTGCAGATGTTAAGTCAATTAATTTGCACCTTAAGGTGTCGTCTAGTTCGCTTGTTTGAAAACTTTAAGCTCAAGTCCAGTCGAGTTGGCTCAAGTCTTGCAAAAGTATAGAAACTTTTAAACTTGATCTGAGAGTTTTGTGTCGTTTTCAATCCGTTTCATTCTGACTTGTTTTGGAGTTATTATGACTTCTCAATTTGATTTTTCCAGATGAAGGCCACAGCACGACCAGAAGGCATTGCATTTTTATTTTTCCTCTTTTCTTTTGAACTAACCCTTTTTGAACTCAACACTTTTGCAGAGTGACTACCTTGAATTTTCTTTTCTTTTTTTTTTATATCTCTCTGAGTTTCTTTATTCCCTGAGTGTTGTCAACACCATCAAACAAGGAACCCAAGGCGAAAACGGGTTCTCAAAGCAAACAGCAGCAGTCTTCAACAAACAATATGAAGAAGGAGAAATCTCCTCTCTCTCTCTCGTGAAGAAACAGAAATGTAATCCAAATGAAATGTTTCCACTTTTGATTTCATCGTGTATTTACTCTCTAACACAGTTGACCTTCACTCCATGATCTGACTTTAACATGTGAAACTTCCTCTTTCCTTGTAGTTAAGAAGTTTCAGATTGTTTATGTATAAACGTGTAACTGCCTGCCAAAAAACAGAAATGTTTTCAGACGTGGAAATGCTGTTTCATGTTGTTTCGATGGTGAGGACCTCAGGCCTGACTCTGCTGCTGACTCTCCCACTGCAGCTCATTACTCCATGTTCCTCTGTCGCTCCATCTGTGTTGCCGCTCATTTTACATGCAGTCTACCTTTTAATGAATAACATTTTTTAATATTTAACTGTTGTTGTTCACTCTGTGGTTTAAACATGCTGGGTTTGAACTCCTACAAGGTTCTTCATCTCTGCGCCTGTAACCAGGACCATGGCCAGACTTTTTTTTTTTTTACTGGGGCTGTGATTTATCCAGGGGTGGCATGAAGGATGTGTGCAAAAACATGTAAATGAATCACTTTTATTGACCCAAAATCATTTTAATTTCATGCATTAAGGGCTTTATTTACTACAGGACTGTTTGGCTTTTGCACCGGCTAGTTCACAAAGGAATAAATACACCAGAAACTGCACTTGAAAGCAAATAGTATCTCTGTGTGCAGGTGCTGTTTGCATGCATTTAAACAAGCTATTATGCAAATTCCATGAAAATTTAAAAGCTTAATCACAAGACCTGAAACAGCTGTACAGGAAACAGGTTGAGGTAAACTTTTAAGTCAGCTTAAAGTCGGTGGTAACAGCACTGAACACTTTCAGCAATCATGATAATAATTCCACCTAAAACTCACACACCTGTATTAAGTGTGTTCACGTTACTTTTCAATTAGTGTTTTTTATTATGATCAGGTTTAACATTGATTTTGTGTTGTCTGTGGCCTAAAACTTAAACATATGGGCTATCTTATTTGGACAGGTCTGCTCTGTCAGGAAGAGAGTGCACAGTGCATCTCTGTGCAGCAGGAGCTCATATGCAGATATCTCCATGATTAGATAAGAGCTGAGTAACCTTATGGGT